ATCAGGAACAGATTTCTAAATAGTTTATTAGGCTGCCTAAATTTGTATGCTAGTCATACTGCAAAATTCAATTGAGGGGTGATTTCTTTTGTCAAATATTAGGCCTGCTGTTATTGAAGGTCTGCGAGTTTTTTCTGACTCAAAAATGCAGCAAGACTGCTGCCTTGTGAAGGTTTTAGCATATATAATAGGCAATTTTTATGTGGCCAAAGAGAAATGAAAGCACACTGCTACTATTTTGCCATGTGTTGATATATGCTCAGCATGTATGTGCACATTAATAAGAAGCCTCTCTTTTTACCAGCATATCAAGGTAACAAAGGCCGTCCTTGGGAGAGGAATAACTGAAAACAAGGAAAAAAATACGGAAGACTGGATGGATGAGTTCGCTGCACAGAAATTCTTGGAAGAAAAATCAGAGACGACCCATGGCAAGTATTGATGAATTAAGTGTCCGTCAGTGTTTTCCTCTACTAAATATTTTCCTTCCATGAAAACCCACTGCCATTTTACATGAAAGCTGAAGGGCCTCATGATTCTCTTCTGTATCCTTGTCTTTTGCTCAGAGTTGGTGAGCACTGTAGATTCCATAGCAAATTTTCATTTTTTATAGCTGCTTAATACAAGTCTCTCTATAGCTGTATAGTGGGTTTGGAGAGGAGAGAAGAATAGACTAGGCATTACAAGGAATTTGGGGACATTTTGTTTTCTCCATTTGTAAATAGAAAAATTCCAAGTTAAGAATGAGGTTTGCTTATGTATTTTCATAAGGTGAGGGCAAAGCAGGATGTATCTCTTTAGTAACAAAATTATTTTGTGCCACACAAATTCATGTCTGAATTTTCTAGAACTAATAAAAGATTAAAATATGATTAAAACACCTTTCCTGTATAGACAGGCTGAGAAAGTTGAGTCTGTTCAGCCTGGAGAAGTGAAGATTGCTTAGATACCTCATAGGAACTTTCCAGTATCTGAAAGGGGCCTACAAGGAAGTCAGAGAGGGACATTTTATCAGGAATTGTAACAGGAAAAGGAAGAATGGCTTCAAACTGAGAATAGGTTTAGATTAGATATTAGAAGGAAATTCTGTACTGTGGGGGTGGTGAGGCACTGCAAGAGAAGTGGTGGATGCCCCATCCCTGGAAGTGTTCACGGCCAAGTTGTACAGGACTTTGAGGAATCTGATCTAGTGAGAGGTCCCACTGTACAGTCTTATTGAACAGTTGTGTCACGGTAACTGCAGGGCAGCACAGGAAATAAGACACAACATCTGGGGTAGGAACTCCGTAAACTGACATTTCCTCTGGGAATAAAGTCTTTGACACTGTATCCCAACATCTGCAAAGCTCTCTTAGTATGGAATTTAACAAGAGCAAAGCTGGATTCTGCATCTGGGATGGGACAACCCTGGTTGTGTGTACAGACTAGGGAACAAGAGGCTGGAGAAAAACACTATGGAAAGGGACCTGCTGTTTCTGATGGCAATTTGTATCTGAGTCAGCAGTGCCCTGGCAGCCAGGAGGGACAACCGTGTCCTGGGGGGCATCAGGCAAAGCATCGCCAGCTGTTCGAGGGAGGAGATTGTTCCTTTTTGCTCTGCACTGGGGTGGCCTCACCTTGACTATTGGGGCAGTTTTAGGTGCCACAATATAAAATACCATTGAGCTGTTTGAGAGCATCCAAACAAGGGTCACAAGAATGGTGAAGGGCCTTGAGGGGAAGCTGTATGAGGAGTGGCTGAGGTCGCTTGGTCTGTTCAGCCTGGAGAAGAAGAGACTGAGAGGAGACCTCATTGTGGTCTTCAACATCCTCATGAGGGGAAGCAGAGGGTCAGGTACCCTTCTCTTCACTCTTGTGGCAGGACTCAAGGAAACATCATGAAGCTGAGTCAGGGGAGGTTTAGATGGATATCAGGAGAAGGTTTTTCACCCACAGGGTAGCTGAACACTGGCTCAGGCTCCGCGGGGAAGTGGTCACAGCACCAAGCCTGACAGAGTTCAAGAAGTGTTTGGACAACACTTTTGGGCATGTGGTGTGACTCTTGGGGTGTCCTGTGCAAGGTCAGGAGTTGGACATGGTGATCCTGATAGGTCCCTTCCAACTCAGTATATTCTATTATTCTAATACATGTATGCTTCATGGAACTGTACATGCATCTGTCTTTCCTAATGACAGCTTTTAGTGGAGGAATTGGTAGTCCATTCCCTGCATGTATTGTTTCTGCAACATATCAAGTTGCTATTTGCTATTTGCTAATTTCTTGCTAGATTGGCCTGAGTGATAAAAACCACATAGTCACTTCTGTGACTACTCTGAGGTCCTTGAGGTCTTTGGAAAATGATAGTCCTGGCCATGCATTAACCAGGTCAAGCCTTTGTAAAATTTGCCTGGAAGTCTGAAGGGGTCTTTTGAAGGAACTGACTGAGCTTACTCATCAACCAAAAATGGAGGCTTGCATATTGCACACCCAGAGTCATTTCTGGCCAAGGCAGTTGAACACAGGACTTAGAGAATTAACAAATTCTGGAAATCTGTAGCTGGAAAACGTGTGCATACTTTGGTAGAGAGCCCATCCAGGCCTTGCAACACTAACCCTGAGGGGCTTTGCTGTACCATGTCAGGGTGCACTGAACAACTTTGTAGGCTCTGTTTGTAGTGATGTTCCTTGTGCATTTACAATTAAAACAAAGTTGTATTTTTAGCAGAGATATTACAGGGACTGTCATATAAACAAATGCAGGAGAAAGACAATAAAATGTGCAAGTTGTTTTGCTTCTGATATAATTTTCTCAAGTGAATTGACCTCAGACTCCAATCCTGGAGTGGTGTCTGATTGAGTATTCCCTCACTGGGCCTGAACCTGACCCCTACCCAAAGGCGGATGTCCTGGCCCAGCCTGTCCCATCCTTGTTCCTATGGAAGCACTGGCTGCCTTGGCTGCCCACCAGCTGCCCTGCTCCCTGAGGGGGCAGTGGGACAGTCCTGGCTGCCGTGTCCTGTCCTGCTGCCTCAGGGAACCCCCTGATGCTTCCAGTCTCCAGCACCCTGCAGTGCCTGGGTAAATGTGATTTTTTGACTTTTGCTTTAATTTCCTCCTTCACTGATTTCTTTTTAGACTGTGTGATCATGTGCCATTTATTCATGCCACACTTAAGAAGCATATTTTCTCTATGGAAGGCAAGTTATTGTGAATTAACATGAATAAGAATTGACAAACTCTGCTGTGCCTGTCACAGTCATTTGAGAAATGTCCAGCTTCCTTTTCCCATCTCTTTTATACCAAGAGGAAAAAATGTTGAGAGTGGGATCTGAAACCCAGAGGTTTCAAATGTCTTCTCCCTGCCAATAAGTCTGATATCAGTCCACCCAGGACTAGATTAATTAATGTGTCTTCTTAGGTCTTTGTGGTGGCACATTTACAGCCCGAAAAGCCCCTAACTTTAAGTGCACCACCCAGTGGAAATGCAGCATATAAGGAACTTCATAGTAAATGGGTCCCTTCATCTTGTTATTTTTATCAATCTGTCTTTCTAATCTCCTAGAAGAGATTTTACTTTATTCTGGCTTAACTGGTGTTTACCGTTCCTCTATATTTAGTATAATTTGCAGCTTTCACAAATGGAATATTTATTCTCTCTAAAAAGCTATACAAGAAAGGCTTTAAATAGAACCAAGCCTGACAGAGTTCCTTTCCAATAAATATGCATGTGCCTTTGACAATTTACACCACCATCTTTCACTTTTAACTCAGCCATTCAGACTCTGTCAAAGTTCGTCTTTTATCCAAACAAATTTGAGAGAGTTTTGAGGTAAGTTTTCTTAAAAATGCTGAAAGCTGAAAACATAAAAATGCTCTACCAGCATCCAAATACATTTCATCTAATCCCATGTTCCCTTTATTCCCAAATCTTAGAAGTCAACTAGCAGGAAAAAACTGTTCAGTTTGCTCATGTTGTGTCTTGAAATCCTCCGTCTGGTGCTGCAACCAAGCCAACATGGAAAAAAACCTCTGTGCCAGTGCAAGCAGTTGCTTTCTGAAGGCAGGGCAAAACTATATTTCAAAAAAAGTGGGTATCCATACCACTCTGTTACCCTGATCTGCTCTTCCGATATTTGCACATTTTTCCAGGGTATCCTGAAATCCTGTACCCAAGTAAGCCATGTTTTTAGGAGAGGAAGGGCCCACAGAACTTTTCCAGAAATGTGCGGACCGCTTCTGCATTCTTTTGAAAGCAGCTAAAATGCCTGGTTGTTTGGTGATCTTGTTTTTATTCAGTCCCATTATTGATAATGGTCCATGTGGCAATAACTTCGCCAAGAGATACTCAATGAACTTAAAAAAAGCTTTGAATATGAAGGTTATATTATCAAATGGTGGTTTGAAGGAACTAAATAGGATTATGAAGATTATCCTTCTTTAACAATGCCTTAAATTTTTATCTCCTTATCCCTTTCTCATTGCTTTCTCTCTCAAGACATTATGGTTTATTGTGTCTCCACTAGGTACCTTGCATATGATTTACAGACTGAATGACTCTGCTTTCAGAGCAAGGTAATGATATAATATTCCCATTTATATTCAGAGCAGTCAACACTTTCTAGCGCTCTGAATAATAAAACCACCTGCATTTAATATACATGGAAAAATGGGAAGGCAAATAGCAGATATAGCACAATCACATAAGTGTAATCAGATAAAATATCACAATATTAGAGCAGATCAGCATCTGGTAATGACTTGAATTTTAAAAGACTGACAAACAGCATGGCCTAAAGCAATCAGGCATACCTCATTCAGAGCTACTTATCCCAGATTTGATTGCTCTTCTCATATGTTTCTGGCAGATTAAACATTCAGGCTTTCTTATTTTAACTCTTCCCATGCTGTATCTCTTTAAGTGGAGAACAACTAGCTTTTTGCCTTTTTCTTGCAGAGTGAGAAAGCAACAACAAATCAAAGCAGTGGAGGAAGGAGCCCAGCTCCCCTGATGGTTGCAGTAAGTGGAGCCAAGTAGTCCTGCAGCCTGCATGCAGTTGCACATCAACTGTGTCCTCTGTCTCTGCAGCTGCTGCCAGGGCCTCGGGATCCATCCTACCTAGTGGAGAACAACTGGAAACTGAAAGTACTATTTTTTGTACCTGGCAAGCCCTGGATGAGTGGCCTGTGGAGGACATTTTTAGTGCATCCACTGGTCTCAGTGGGACTCTGGTCCCCTGTAGGACGTCCTGCAGATACCGTAGCACAAACAATACTAATCAAGCAACATCACAGTAGAGCTGGTGCTCTATAGAGCTGGGATATCGCCCGTCCTCTAATTATTTCTGTGCTTCTGTCAGTTGCAAGTCTTGACTGTTAATGCAGCACCCAAAACTAATGTTAGGAGCATATTCTCCTCTCCCTCCCCCCACTTTCTCCCCCTCTCCTTCTTCCCCTGCCTCCTACTCTCCCAATCCCTCCCCCTTTCTCTCTTTTACAGTTTGTTTTAATGCAAGCATCAGTGATGAGGAGCTGCTTTAATTTGTTCTTTCTGATTTGGTGTCCCAGGCGGTGCTACTCCCAGAAAGCACATCCCTTGCCTGACATCTTGGGGATAGGGAGCTCATTCGCTTCTGATTAATGAGCTTTTGATTGGACTTTACATGCTACAAATTGAAACACTGCATATCCAAAGTATATTGGGAGTTACCTGAACTAAATGTTATGCAAGTCTTTTTTTTTTTCTTTCTTTTTCATCACAGGACAATGTTCTTACTGTAGCAGCAGCAAACTTTTTACTAAAGCTAAAAACATGCAACAACAGACCATCCGAGAAAGAAAGGGAATATCCCACAGCCATAGTTTTTCCTCATTTGATCACACCTGAGATTAAATAATATCTCAGATATTTTGCATGTCACTCTGAGAGAGATTCTCCAATTGGAGGATATTGGCATGCTTTCTGAATGTAAAATCTGAAAGCAAATGGTGCCATTGGGACCCATGTACATGGTTAGTTGTGAGCTGCACCAACCCTAGAATAAATGAGGTCCAAAGACAGGTGTGCACCTTGGAGAGGGACATATGGAAGGTACTATTCTATTAATGATGAGGCCCTTTTTTATTAGCTGAGGTTAAATGGCCATTTTAACTCACCAGTCTCCAATAATAATGAGCCTTCTTTTCATGAGGAACAGTCTGAACATCATTTTGGCTCTCATGAACTGGCTTATACGGAGTAAGAACACATGATCCTCACCAATTACTGTGGAACTAGAAAATTATTGTTTCTTGTCTTTGTTTCCTTTTCTTCTTTCTGGGCATTAAGGGTGGAAAAAAAGCAAATTTTAGAATTGTATGTGCAGCTTAGACCCAGCATAGCTCTTCCTGTAAGACTGTGTCCTGTGGTTGCCTCACCACTTTGGAGGCAGCATTTTGTTCTCTGCTGCCTCCTGAAGAGTGAACAGGTGGGGACTGAGGATGAGGCTCTGTCCTCTTCCTTGGTTGCTGGTGCACACATGTAGTATCAGCTAGAGAGGAAGGAATAACAGAACTGAACCAGTGATCACAAAGCTTGGTTTATTTTATGCAAACTCATTTCATCTGTGTTTAAAAAAGAAAAAATGCATGCAAGGTATGACCAAAATGTCACTGCAAATCAGGAGCAGAGCAAGGAAAAAAGTTAAAATTTATGTATTGTTTCCTGTCATATGTTTAAACTTTGTGAAACATAAATATAGACTTTTTTCTTTCTTTTTACCTACCACAGATTTCTTAAGCTTAAAGAAGAAGACTCAAAGTATTTCTTCCTGTGGAGGAATACCCCTTGTCAGAGTGTATTTTCTTGTACTGCTTCATTAGTGCAAGGGATCAGTGACCAAATATATTAGGCATCCATTGTGTATAAGGAAGATAAATAAGGAATGATTTGTCATGAATTTTTTCTTTGTATCAATTAGACATGTGGCACAGAGATGAGATATAATCTGTGTTTTCTTCTGCTTTCCACCCCTTAATGCTTCTGACTCATATTTCATTGTACTTGCATCTTTATTAGGTTTCTCTTGTTTGCAGTGTTCTATTATAATGACTTTGTCTTTCACAGGTCAGTACTGTTGATTGCATTACATCTGGCCTGGACTGCAGCTGAATCAGTTTTGGGGGACCCAGCAGAAAGTTACTGCTGTAACTGGCCACAGCTTGTTCTTTGGTACGAGAATATGTTACTGCTGCTTAAAAACTGACTAAAGCCCATACCAAACAGAACACTACATGTCCCTATTGGGAGTTACCAAAATTAAGAGTGTGAAACTCTGGCTGAAGTGAAATAACAGACAAATCTTTCACTTTTTCACTGGAAACAATTCTGACAAATGAGACATGAATTCAGAACATTCACTCTGTTTTTTTGTTTAAAGAGTGGAAAGGGAGTGAAATGCAGTTAAACTTCTGTAGCATTTTTTCTATTTCTAAGGCATACATTTGTAATTTCTCTCCTTTCACAAGACTTCCTCTTTTACTTCTCCTTTATAGGTTGAGAAGATGAAGTACATGTTTGGTTTGACACACAGCTTGGGGCTAGCTTTAGGTTTTGATTTAAGGTTGATTCATGGGTCCAGCAGGACCACTCTTGGAGAAAAGTTCCCCAGTGGTCAAGGAACCTGTGCATAGGCTTTCCAAAGGCATGGGACATGAGACACCTTCTTGCATCATCTGATATAAGCCTCATCCTTCACCTGGTGTTGGGTTGCTCACTGTCACCATACAGTCAGGCAAAAATCCTATTTGAATTCCACATGGAATATGAGTGGTTCAGCCCTTCTCAGCAGGAGTCAACAAGCAATTTACACTCAATTAAACATCGTCTTTATAAAAAACTCTAACACATTTACTTTTCCAAGCTAAGGCATAACAACAAGTAATCAACAGAAAGATGCTGTAAGTGTTTGAAATATAAGTTACCGGCATTGTCTGGTTGGGCTTGGACATGGCCCTGAATGCTCTGCTGTCCAGCAGCTGTAAATTCATTAGCTCTAACTTTCACAGCCTCAGACTGAACTGTCTCAGTCTGCTGGGATTGCTGCTAGTCTAAGACCACAGGTAAAATGGTCAATTCTCCTGCTGTTCATGATTTTTTTCTTCCTTCATAGCAATGCGATATACTGCTGTGAAAATGCATACCTCTGCATGGAATGTAGTATTTATACAGGTGTATTTCCTGCCTCTGTTTTCTGTTAAAAATAACGTTGAACTGTAGGCTTATTTTAACAGATGTGCAGAGAATTGAGTATTTTACATGCAACTTAATAGGATTTGAGTGGCAGATCAGATGAAGATTTCTTTGAGTATCTGAGCTTAAATGCTCAGATGGATTATGGTGGATTTCTAGGTTTTGGATACTGATTTCCTTTGAGAACAATTTGCAGAAACAAAGTTCTCCCCTCTTGAAATTCTGAACCCATATCCTCCTCTTCCATCTATTCCTCAGATGATTCTTCCTTCTTTCTTCTTCTTCCACTTGTAATCTGGAGTTTTATGTACACAAATACGTGCAAAATGAGTGTGGTTTGGTGTGCTAAGAAGTGCTATTTATCTGCACCTGTTGGATAAGTAATTTCCTCCAGTGCCAATGAGGTACAGTAATGTGACATGGAGAAGAGACAAAAGAGTTGTAGTCCATAAGATGATTGTCACTCATTTTAAGGAAAGCACAAGTGGCGAAAATTGCCGGCTTTTGCACAAGCCAGTACTCCCCCCTGCCAATCCCTACCAACACACATACCCCTTTGCCCCTCTCTTGCTTGCATTAACTGTCAGGGAGACATTGCCTGATTTATTTCCATCTCTCTTTATCACTTGAAAGGGAAGGGGTTTTTTTAACAAGTGTAGATAAGACCTTAGGCAGCCTGAAAGATATTGCAGCCAATGAACAAAATACTAGAATGAGAAACTTGACATCTAAATGTTAAAAGAGATATAACTCCATACACATCCAAGAAAACCCCACTCAGTGTCCTCCCAAAAGCTAAAATGGAGTAGGACCCTCCAGGATTCCAGGTTCCCAAAAAGAAAATGAAAAGTGATGCACTAAATCACCATTAATATTCATTATGCTTCCTTATACACACTGATATACTGTGAGACTCTCCATTTGCAGTCTGAGGGGAATACAGAGCCAGTATTGCACAAGCATGCCTGTATCAGCATTGGTAGGCTAATAGGCTCATGTTTGCTAGGGAGAAAAATATACTCCCTTGCTTTCTTCCCATTTTAAAACTACCACAGACATTTTGCCACAGAAGTGTGAGTGAACTGTTGGCAGCTGTTCTAAACACAGATTGAGAACTGTTGGTACTGAAAGCTAGTTAGCACTTCTGCTGAGTTGAGATAGCTAATTTTCATTAGAAATTGAGGTTGAAAAGCAGTCGATAGCATACATTACTTCTATCTCTGATTCTCTACAAGAATCCTCATGAAACCTATTTTTCAATTAGTAGGAAAAGTCTGACATTTCAAAGCAATTCAGATATAATTTTTCAAATATCAAAATATCTCTCATTATTTGTATTTAGGAGACTAGTATTGGCAAGTAGCTAAGTAGGCTAAATAATGAGAAAGACAATTAACATATTTTGAAATGCATCAATGTTATGGCTTGGCTTTGGAACCTTATGGAACCTTGGAACCTTGGCTTATGGAACCTTGTTCCTGGTTAAAATTAGCAATAACAGATACTGAGCCCTTATTAATTTCTTAATAGACTGGTAGGCACAGCCAAGCATGCAGCAAAGAATGATATAAATTAGTACTTGGGTTATAAACGTGCAAACCCTACTGGGGATGATGTAGTGTAGAGCAAGATGCAGAAAGAGAAAACACATAGGTCGATGTCAAAGCTCTATATCTCAAATTTCTGTTCTCCTTCTTCCAAACCCTAGGGAAATTGGAATAAAATTATGAAATAATTCCTTAGTTTTTCTTAATAAAATAATGCTGAGGCAAATCCAAACCCCATGTTGCAGGACTATAAATGTAAATTTCTTTATTTTTCTGTTGTAAATTGAGCCTCAAGAGATGTTCAAAATTTAGAAGTTCCTGAGTATTTTTGTATCCCTAATTCAAAATATATATTGTGATATCATAGTAGGAAAGTATGTGCATATGGGAAAGAAAACATTCACATCCTTTGTAGAAATTGTGAACCTATTTCCTTTGACTTTCATGCTGCCTTTGTGTATCTGCCTTCTCCAAGCTGTTCCTCTCAACAACTACCAAGAATATTTAGAAAGGTGAAAGTATTTTAGTTAATCTTGGAGATCTGCAGTGACAGTTGAAGGAAATAAAGTTTAAAGTCTTGTAATTCTTAATGGAAAAAAAGTAGTTCTAAAAAAGGACACATATATTTATTCCTGAAATTTCCATGATAAATACAGATTAAACACATATGCAAATAAGTAGCTTTAATGAACATGTTCAAAGCAGCATCTATTTTTAACTAGCTACGAGAAGCTTGTATTTATTTCATCTGGAGATTCCAGGCAGAGTCTGAAGTTAAAGCTAATTTAACCTTTCACTCTGAGCAGTGTAAGCAAACAATGATGTGATATAGCTGTCATTTCGTTCAGTTATTTAAGAAAAAACTCAAGTTTTCACTATTAAACACATATATTCTATTTTTTGTGGTAAGACTGGTGGATATACTTCATTCTTTTGAAAACCAATTCAACCCTAAGGTTTATTTTCAATACATTTTGTTTGCAGGGACAAAAAGGACACCTCTGTCATTTTCTTATATTTTGATTTAATTTATTCCAATTTTCTCTGGTACTGAACTTATGTCAGGTATGAGAGACAGAATGTGCATTTGAAAAGTGATTCTTTTGTTTATCTTCTTATTCCTGAATGTGTCAGGCAGGCACAACACACACCACTGTGCTTCATGCTCAGGGATATTGCCCCTTTTCAAACAACCAGTGTTTGAAACACTGGTTTGAAACAACTGATTTGAAACAACTCTCTCTGCAATAAGACCCTACTTCAGGCCATTTTTGATATTTTATTGTTGTTGTTTTTGTTGGGGTTTTTTACAGCATGCAGCACAAAGGTCACCAGGACCACTATGCAGAATGTAAAATACAGACACTGAATGAGCAATGGATTAACCTTGCCATCACTGTGAATTAACTGAAATATAAGGTAATTCTGTTCCTATTGCCAAGTGACTAATTCCAAGAAGAATTGTTACTGGTCCAAACAAAGTGCCAGAGAAAAATATGTGGCCCAAGAATAAACTCCATAACAGACTTGTGATACAGTCTTAAGTAACATGATACCATTTGTGCTTCTCCTTTTCTGACCCCTTTGAGAGATTTGGGTTCATAGTGATTAGTGGGTTTCTCTCAAGAGCAATGCCCTGTAATCCGGCAAGGTGCAGCCCCCTTGTTTCATGCAGATTTTCTGATTTGAAGTTGTTACTAACTAAGGAGAGGGTCAGCAGTCACACGTGAGTTAGTACTTTTTTTCAGCTGTGGTGAAATAGGAGTGTGCTGGTGATGCTTGCTGTAAAGCTTTTTGGGAGTTTAGTCATGAAACACAGTCACTCTCATCCTGCTCTGTTCATTATTTGTATCCTCTCATTCCTGGTGACAGAATCATTTTTTAAAAGTCCATCCCCTGTAAACTGGCTAAGTGGATAACCGTGAAAGACTTTAATAAATTGTAGGTGGATTTATTAATGCTGCTCAGGGTCATGCTAACTGGGCTCAACTGAAGGGAAATTGAACTCGTGCTTTTAGATGGGGGAGCGCCACTGGTTAAAAAAAAAAAGAAAAGAGAAAAAGGAGAGAATGTAAAAATCAAGTCCATTTGAAGGTTAGAAAACTTCATTTTCTCATCTGGCGAACACCTTAGTTACCCGCCTGCTCGGTAGGGCAGCTTTTCAGCAAACAAAGAGCCAAGAAAGGAAAGATGTGATGGGCCTGACTGCAAGCTAATAGAAAATGATGTCTTGAATATTACAAAGTAGCAAGCAGTTCTACTTTCTTCTGTAACCCTCTAAGGTAATGATATTCTAATAAAAACATATTCAGAGGACAGAGGTTGTGAGGAAGAAAAGTGAAAATCTCATATCCCCTCACCAAAGTGTTTGTCAGATTTGAACATTAACTTTGCACTTTGCTTGGAGTGGTGAATTAGATGAGATATATAAAT